ACACACACACACACACACACACACACACACACACACACACACACACTGCTCCTCACACCTTCTTGTCAACTGCTGGAAATGGGCCATTTTGTATTACCTACTACAAAAAGTTTTCTCTCTCTCCTGCTGGTAATAGCTCACCTTAACACATCACTCTTGTTATAGTGTGTATGGTAACACCCATTGTTTCGTGTTATATATATATATATATATCTTCCTACTGTATTTTCCACTGCATGCATCCAATGAAGTGGGTTTTAGCCCACGAAAGCTTATGCTCAAATAAATTTGTTGGTCTCAAAGGTGCCACAAGTACTCCTGTTCTTTTTGCTGATACAGACTAACACGGTTGCTACTCTGAAATCAATATTTTAGGTTATTGTTCTCCTCCAGTAGTATTTTGAACAGGAATAGAGCATTAGAAACATTTTTAGCCCTTTTAATTAATGCAAAATAACCCAGGTTTTTAAGCAATAAATCTTGTGTTCTTTACTATGAAAAAAGATCTTTTGGCATTTGAAAAGATATTAGAAACAGCACATGAATACAATTCAATACGTTTCAAAGCCTTTTTTATGGAAGTGTATGTAGTTTTTCAATCTAAAGTCAATTGACTTCAGGCTAACTTTAGACAAAATGAATACATACAATGTCTCTAAAACTACATTCTGTAGTACATGAAGTGTTATTTTTATAGCAGGATACATTGTAAAGATTTTACTTTTACAGTATGCATTAACATCTCATAAGTACTGCAATATCTCCTCATATGTGATGACCCAGAATATATTTGTAATTATACATTAATGCTAGATAAACACAGCAAATAGATAAAGTTTATCCAAGTTCTAGCGAATTGAAAGATAATCTCACTGGTATACCAATTGAATTATTTTATATATATGAACAGCAGATAGTGTCTGGCATTACTCAAGACCAATAATCAAGACAGTCCTTGACTCAGAGAGAGCTAATAATCTAGAAGACAGACCTAAGAGACACAAGATGTCCTCAGAGATCCAAAAGAACAAACTACTTAAGATACTTATGTTAAAAAAAAATTGGCCTATTTTTCACTCCTCCTTTCCCCAACCTCCACCATCCATGTGTGACTATCATGGAGAAGTAGGTTCTCATGGAAGACTAATGAAAAAAATGGGGCTTGAGACAGACTAGATCATTCCACACACAAAGGCAAGATAGGAGAAAACCACAATGACAGGAGTGGGCAAAGGACACAAAGGGATGTTGGTATCATTGTTGGATATAGTTATATTAACATCAAAAAAGTAAATTAAACAGAAAAGAGAGGATACTAAAATCATTAAATTTAGATTTTTGGAAGGCACATTAGAGTGCACAATACTTATAGCTGTGCACAAGAGAGATAAATGAAAGACTGCAGATCATATGCGGGTTCCCATTACGTGCACATAAATTTTGGCCGAGAAAACTTAAACGGAACTTTTATTACACCATGAACTAGCATTTGGAGACAAATTCTTCCCTTTCGAAGATTCACATGCCTAAAGTTCCTAGCATCAGAATATTTCTATGTGAACAGGGCAAAGGAATGTATACCACATCTGTTCTTTGCTTTCTTTACTTTTGGGAGAACTGTCTATGTAGTCAGTTTAGCCCAAACCCAGCCAAACAGGGATATCTAAATGCAATTTTCTGTCTTAAGTACATTGTTTTGTTTGTCCTTTACAGATGCTGTTTTGTGGTCAATTCTTTAAAGAACATCATCATAAGCTGTGATCTTCATTACAGTAAGAACAATTTCCATTTGAATTCCCAGGATTCCAATAGCTTAAGCAATATATACATTTCACTATTTGGTAATGCACAATAATTGCCTCTAAATATATCCAATTAACTATTGCAATCAAAATATTTAATCTATCAATAAAACCTAAATTGATATTTATTAAAACATTTACAAAAGGGGAGCCAAGGTCCTGGGCTTTTTTAGGAAAATATTTGGATTACTCTGCTTATATCAAAAACT